TAGTCCGATTCTGTTCTTCTGGCGCGCCATATTTTTCCTAGGGATCAGCTCCTCGGTGCACGTAGCCGGTAAACTCCGTTTGTCACAACGCCGTCCTTTGACGACAGTTCAGCGGGGGCCGTTGTTTCGCTTGTCGCTGAAGTCACCGCGCGCCGTTTGCCAAGTGTGGAATTGCACGTAGATCATCACGTGCACACCCACCACACGTATTAATTACGGGCCACAGCGGACTCTGCGATTTTTCGTTTTTTATGCACGTCATAAATTATTAATACATCATTTTTTATGGTACTGCGCTGCGTTGACGACCTGCAATACACAGTGTATTTATAAAACGTTTAAACGAAAAAGTCAATCTACATTTTGGCAGTTGGCCGGCGTAGAATAATAGCGGCTGTCATTAGTTGTCGACGGCTGAAAAAAAGTTTATTAATAAATATTTTAGGAGATTAGTTGACGAGTTACACTCACTTTTGTGTAATAACACCGATTTATGTAAGTCTTCGGAAATTCGTGACACACTTCTAATGTTAACTGGTGTCTCCTCTCCCGTTCAACGCAACAGATGTCTTTATTCGTCATTAGACTTTCGCCTTTCCTCTAAACGTTTTACATTTCAACTATTTAAGTTTCGTTTTTGATCCGTCAGTTATTACCTGAGGAATAACATTTCATTACTCGGTGGGATGTGTTGCGTTTTTTTCGTATTATTATCAATCGTGTTTCTTGAAGTCGTTGAAAATCCGAGAAGATTACGATCTGAAATTGTGATGATCGCGTTGTTTTTTTTTGAAATGTACTCGAATTTCTACATTCAAAAGTTATTACTGACTTATACGTATTTATGTATTAAAAATCAATAACTCGTTGTTAATTTCCGGCGTGGAGTAAAAAAAAAATATACAATCGTTTAAAGTGTTCGTGTCGAGTGCGTTTTTCTTTCTCCCCTCTGACGCATTGTGTCGTGTAGATCGTTTTTGAGTAGTCGGCAAAAGAAAATTCCGCCACCCCTTCCGGTAAAGTGTTTTCTCGTCGTTTGTGGGCGGCTGAGTGTTCTCTGTCGACGTCCTTGGCCAGAGAGCGCTAACAGTGTACGTACACTTATAATACAGTTAAAACGACCGTTTTATTTGGTACAAACGGTTTTCTAACAACAGTAATAATATTATACGTATTACGCACACCGCACTCTCCGCTGTTCCTCCAGCCGGCCTGCCTTCCCGCCCGGCCGCGGTGTGCGCCGGAGGAACGTGGCCGGGATCAATAAACGAACGGCGTGGGGTTGTTGAGGATGACGGTGACAGCGATGGCGACGACGACGACTATTATAACTACATAAAACACGCTAATGGCTCAATACGACGACGGGCAGAGCGTGTGCCACACGCCGACGCTTTGTGTAATACGAATTACTCGCCCTCCGCCGCGGCGCATTGTATTATTCCACTTCTCTGTCGGCGAGCGAGAAAAAAATAATAATGCAGATCTTTCTCGTGCAATCGCAAGACTTATTACGGGGCAGCCCGGCCTGGAAGAACAGCTCGGTTATGCACTTCGGATCATTAAATCGAAACGAAAGGGGTGCAGGCACACGATGACAGTGTTTCCCCGTCGTTATTGGACCCGTTTTGTTCGCCTGTTCGTTTCGTCTTCCCCGAAGGCCATCAATCGCCTCTCGTACAAATCCGCGCCCATGAACACCTCCGGCCGCCTGACCTTAACGATTACGTCGCCGACGAATTGTGCCATTATGGTAATTGTGTTTTTCCCTCGGCAACGTTCACTTCGTTACGGTGTCTCTGACAACGCGTCATGGTACACACTCGCCTTTATTTGGGCGCCGAGTTTATTTCTTGATGTTTGCCCGGTCAATCGCATATAACGAGCCGTGTAAGTAGGCAATTCATGTACACTGTTATCGATACAATTACCGTAGCGTCGAGTTTATCGTCGTTATTTATTTATTACGACAGTCTGTGCGCTCGTTTCTCATGTGTCACGAACCGCGCGAGTTATCTCAAATGTGTTTGTCATTCTGAATATTCCGACAGAAGTTTCATATGAACAGCGTGTCGAAAGTGTGTGACGATAAATTGTCACGAGATATTATTTATTCATTTTTAATTGGTTAATTTATAGTTTTGGTTAACAACAAATGGAATTAGCGCACACGTACGACAAGTTAATTTCGAGTTCGCCGTCATTTATAACAAATAATGTGCTCTGATATTATTATTGATGGAAAAAATAATTTATCTTTTTTATTCATAATTACAGTCGATATATTTTTCTTTTTTTTTTTGATTACTACATGCTGATTTAAAACGATCTCTCTTCGTTTAGATTTATTGCATTTTGTAAGTTATTTAAGATTTTTTTAATTATTTGTAATTTGCAATCTCGTTACGCAAAAAATTCGTGTATTGATTTTTTTGACAAATCGCACACATCTGCAGAGTATTAAATGTGTGACACTTTATTTATCAAAGACCGATTGGTTTGGATTGGCTAGTAAACTATCAACAGGAATGCAACGTGTCCGTTTAAAAACTGTAGTTAATCGGACCGTTTCTCTTTTTAATTGTACACCGTTTTTTTCCGGTAGACTCGATTTGCCAGATTTCATTGCAGTTCGAATTACCGGCGGGCTTGTTTGCCGTAATGGCTGAGGCTAACAATAAAACAAAGAGGAAATATCAATTGATTACGAATCGTTTGTTCTGCGACAAATACGCGCTGAGTGAGGAGGAAAGCCAGCGCTTTACATTACCTCTTGAAATTATATGCGACCCCTCCCCCACTCGGTCGCATCGCCATCGTAATGCTGCTCGAGGCTCATTACTCTAATGGGCAGAGGACACGGTGCACGACGCTTATATGGCATTATTATTAGTCACGTGACCTTAAGTGTGCGGATGTGTTTTTACCCGAAGGGTTTTGCCTCTTGTTTGTTCTGTAGCATCGAGGGATCGTAATGGAAAACACCTTCTGCTATCATTTGACCGAAAACGTCCAAACGGCCCTTTTTCGGAGATTGACATAGACACACTCAAACATGACAATAATAATATCAGCAGGTTTAAATTGCATTGTTTTAATTTTTTATGATGAAAAAAAGCAAACATTTATTTTGAATGGTATGCCATTGATTTACCGTATTGTTCAAGTATCCTGCAAACAACACAAACTCTTATGGAAATTAATTATTATGTTATTAGATGATATTTGTACCCAAACGACGTACAATAGTAATTTTGATGCTTAATGGTTTTTTTTTTGTGACATATGAGCTAAAAAAAAGTGTATTTATAGAATTCCTCTTTTGCTCATTAATTGAATAATTGAATTTGTATATATATAATATTATCGTAAATAAGTGCATATACATGTATATATATATTTAAACTCTTATTAGCAACAGAAGTAGAGCTATTTTTTTGAAGTCGACGAAGATATTTTAGATCTTGAAAAACTTTTGTTTATAAAGTTAGGTAATTCATATTAACGCACGAGATCCATTGAAATTACCATCGTTTTTTTTTTTTATTAGTATTTCCCTTACATAAATCGCTGTTCCGCTTTTCGCTTATTATTTATAACTTTTTATTGCACTTGTTGCAAACTTCGTTTGCAGTTCTTGGTTTTTTTTTAAGACTATCAAACACTCACTTTAACATTTTAATTTGATAGTCGTTGAATGTAATTTGAGATAATATTTCAGATATATTTGAAATATAATACAAAATAGAAAAATATTACTTAAATCAATGTATAGATTGTATGATAGAAATAATATGTTTGTTTGTTCGTCAACACTTTTAAGTAATTAAAACACTTATATTTATTAGGTTTTATACTGTTTATTTAGTTTTTTAGAAATAATTCGGCGTTATATGTGACTTTTATTTCGGGAATCAAATTAATCGTGTTTGGATACCTTGAGGGGTTGATTGAAGAGACAGAATTACAAAAAAAAAAGTCAAACATTCTTGTCTACTAGAGTTATGTGACAATATTAGTGTAGTTGAAGTGGAACAGAATTGTAAAGAAACATCAGACGATCCCATATCTGTAAAATGTATAAAAAACAAAACTAGGTATAAAAACAAAACATTTTTCACCGCAGTGGTATTTTCATTTTTCTTTTTTACTTACAACTTATAGGATATACTTTTTCTATGTTTTTTTATTTACGTTTCCAGATACTCGATACTTAAAGGCCTTTATAAGAAACGTTATTTTCGTGAGATTAGACGAAATCCATACGTATTTTTATAAAAATAATTGTTTCTAAAAAGTGAGGAATATACGACGAGTGCAAATTACATATTTTTTATTTCGCCGCAAATTAGAAGAATATATTTTAGATATGTCTACTATTGCTGTTATTTTCATTGTTTTGTCTGTGTAACTTTTGTGCAAAGTAGACAACTATGTTATTCATCTGATTTCTCTAGTGATCTTAACATTTTTTGGTTATCTCAGAGTAATAATATACGCGCTATTTACTTTTAAAAGTAGTTTGTTACACTTTAATTTCGACTTGATCGACATTTTAGATGCAGTTTCTCATTGGAATCATGACGTTTTACCGTATTTCTTTCATTGCCTCTCTAGTATAACTATGATTACTATATAGGAGGGTTTTGCAATAGGATTAATGTGGCGACTACAGTTGCGCCGGATACTTTGCGAACGAACTTAGAAATTGTTTGACTCCGTAACACGTGCACAGAAGACACAAAACATTATGACAGACTCACAAAGTTTTTTTTCGACGATGCATTATTTTATATGATATATGTGTTTTATACTTATGTCGTTAACCAAAATTTCCAATTTTTCATCCCCGCCATTATAAATATATATAAATTACAACGTTTATTTGATGTTATTTTAACATATGCTATATTAATCGTAAACATTAAAAAAAGAGAACTGAAATCCAACTTCACTAATGTTATAGCATTTTTAAAAATGTTTGTTTATTGTTCATTTAGGTGAAGATTTGGTTCCAAAATCGACGGACCAAGTGGAAAAAGCATGACACGGTGACAACATCAGAACAGTCAGACCCGTCAACAATTACTGCCACCTCAGTGGGCTCCAAACATTCGCCCAAGTCGACTACAGGGGCCAAGTTCCTTAGTGAAGGTGATGATCACTCATCGTTGGAAGATTCGGAGAGCTGTTATAGTGGCGTGGACGTTGCTGAGTCTAAAGTAGTGATTGCTAGGACGCCGGAATCACTACCTCCCACGTCGCCGCCCGACAATGACACCACAGTGCGGGCTCCCAGTTAAGCGATTGATTTCTACATCACTTAACTTTAACGACCTAATTAGTCGATGAAAAGAAAATTCACAATTAGATGGAAATGAAGTTACATTAATTTTGTTAGTTGTTTTTTTTTTTTTGTTTGTTTATATCATTATAATAGTAATAACCGTACGAAAAAAAATGCATGTTGGATAACAAGCAGTTAGAATATTAAAACATAGTTTTCGATAAAATGTGTGAAAGACATTTGCTCTAAAAGACCATTTTTGATTATACTGTTGATTCAGTCCGAAAGAAAAATTCCTATCACATCCTTCTCTTCCTGCAAACTCCAATTCCATTGTCGCCTAAAGCCTATACTTCTTTTTTTTATTACCTGCTCTTTAATTGTCCACTTCAACAACGATGTTATTATTATTATTAATTTTTTTTTTTGTAATGCGGTGACGCTATTTTTTTTTTTTATGTAAAAATTGTGTAATTTTTTTATACACCATAACAGGTGAAATGTACTGAATATGTAAACGAAATGTTGTAATGTGGTCTTTAGGACTATTAATGTAAAAAAAGGTAATTGTACTTTATAATGTTCTCAAATTATACTTACTTTTTCGCGTTATATTTCTTTAATTATTATTATTATTAATAATATATATGTGTAGAATATGTATTGTGTATAATATAATGGATAAAATATTTGTAAAAAATGAATGTGTATAATATTTATAAAACATTATTTTCAGTGTGTTATATTATGTTATTTTTTTTTAAGCCTCCTCGGCAAATATAAAGTGAACTATTATAATTGTTGTTACTTCATTTATTCGAAATAAAACATGCAAACAATTTTAAATTATAGTATAGTATTTAAGATAATTTTTGGAAGAAAATAGAGTTCGAAAAAGAACTTCAATAAAGTTGTTTGTAATCATGAGATTAATATAACTACCAAAGAATCTTTATTGAATGTAATAATTAAATAAACTTAGAGATTATCTAAAGCAAGAGTGAACAATTAGTTTTTATAGCGGATACCAGGTAGTTAAAAAAAATGTTCAACGACCAGAAAAAAATATAATCAATGAATGTATTAAATTAAAAAAAGACATCATATAAATTTAATATATTGAATCCCAATGTATAAAAATATGTACTGTAATAAAAAAAGACGTCCTAAAGTTTGTTCTGAGTCAGCTTTTTGAAATTTGATACACTCCGATATTCGATAAGTAAATCAATCATTAACTACGTGCAGACAAGTAATTTATAGATAAATACAAAAAAAAAAAACAATAAAAATAAAAACAACTTTGGTGTTTAATATTGGTTGTTTGGTTAATATGATTGGTCAATTTTTTACCTTCGGGGCTAGATTTGGATCGCGAGTCAGTCACCTATAGGTTATATATTACCAATCGACTTGAAGTTCCAAAGTCTTATTGTCAGCTATAGCTAAGATTCTTTGTAATGAAAATACATGAAAAATAGACGTGTTAAATATGATCTTGTAAATTAAAAAAAAAAAAATTGTACTTATTCAATTTTATAATTTAACTTTAAAAGAAGATGGATAATAAAAAAAGATGTCATCTGGACATACTAAAATAGCATAAAAATTTGAGTGAAGAATAAATTGATAGTAATAATAAGTTCGCGTAATAGATCCAAAAAACTCTAAATATAAACGATGTATTTCTTTAACATTTTTCTTTTGTAGAAAATCTATAACACATATTAAGTTAGAGTATTGAAAAGATAATTAAGATCATATTGTAAAATAAAACACTGTGAAATTAGAAGTAATTTGTAGTAAAGTATTTTGGAATAGTTCAGTATTTATAGAACGAAATCTTTGGTTTTATATGTATTTAGAGGTAAAAGCACAAAAGAAATACTCATTAATAAATTCTAATTATAGCAGTTAAATTTAAGATGACTCCTCAATATGGGTGGAAGTGATATCTTAATACTGATGAATTGAATAGAAATGATGTATGATGCCAAGAAGGTAATTGACCATAAATTTTAAACTAATCAAGATTTTAATTAAAAAACAATCGTTTTTTCGTGGATTATTGTCAAACTTATTATTACAAATAATTATTATTTCTTGATTTGATTTAATACTTAAGAAAAAGTTGTAAGGTACCGCAACCTGAGTATATATATATTTATAACACTAATTACAATTTTTCACAAGATTTGTCTAGTTGCTCATAATTAAGTATTATATATATTTAGTGTCTCATGATTATTTTATATAATTATGATGCCTTAACGAAATCTATCTGCAAATGTTATTTATTATTGTTAGAAATTTTGGTTAATAGTCTTTTATTTCTTTTCGAGGATAAATTTGTTTAAAATGGAGAGACAAAACATAAATAGCTATGGAAGAATAATTATTAAAAGTCGTAATTATTTTAAAAACAAGTTATAATTGAAAAATAAGTTTGAGACTTAATATACATAATGTTATTTTTAATACAGTATAGAGACATCTAGTGAAATTGACAATTACTATAACTTAAAAATTTACGTTCTAGAGTGCAGTATATAGAACGATGAATAATTTATAATTGTGAAAAAGTGTTCATAATTTACTTAAAGCATTAGCTTAATCTGATTAGCAAGTGTTAAAATATTGAGTATGTATCTCTATCATGCTGTATATTGTAACATCAAAGAAATACGTTTAACCTTTTTATATATATATAGTATTTTAGCGTCATTATTGGGCAGCAAAGAACTAATAAGAGAATTTGAGGTTTTAAATTTGTTAACTCTCCTTCAAATAGCATATAAATTTAAGAAAATAATAGTTTCAAACCATTTTTACTACTTTAAATAACTAAATTAACCCTTCCTTGAAAATATGATAGTATTTTTTGATTTTATGTAATCCATCTTTGTTTCCTTGATCGGAAAAATCATACATTACAATATTATAAATTATTTTTATTACTACTAAACTATAGAAAATTTGGTTATGCTCAGTTTACAATAATTTTGCTTTGTGACTGATTATTTAAATTGAAATAAATCTGTGTCCGTATATTTTATGTCTTAGTGACGATATTGTTAATATTTCTTTTAAAATTTTTTGATTTGATAAAGTTTTATTTTTTCATAACATTCTTCTTATCAAAAATGTTATTAATGTAAATATGTCAGTTATAATTACGTAAAAAAATTTCAAAAAGGAATTTTTTAGTTTGTAATTTTTTTGTTAATACTTTTAATATTATATTCTAATAGGTGATAATATGTGAAAACAATTTTTCGAGTTAATGCAAATGGATTATAATTTGAGATTGTTTTGTTTTTTGTGAACATTTGTATTTTGTTATGTACTTATGTGAATTAAAATTAATATTAATAAATTTAATTTGATTTTAATTTTATTAAAACATTCATTATAATTTGATAAAAATGATTACGCAATGTGTATTAAATATACCTATTTTTACAAGCTACTTGCATGTCAGGATGGCCGAGCGGTCTAAGGCGCCAGACTCAAGGTTACCCTTGGCCTGCAATGCAGGTCGGTTGAGCGTTCTGGTCCTCATCTGAGGGCGTGGGTTCGAATCCCACTTCTGACAAATTTTTTTGTATTTTTTTTTTAACTAGAAAATTTTGTATTGATCAAAATTTTTGAAATCAGACTGCATGCTTTTTTTCAACTTTAATTAATATTTTTTATTAACTGACACTTTTAATTGAACTATGTTTTACATAGATTCTTTTATAATGCGACATCATTAATATTTGTGTAAGCTTATAGGATTGTTAATTAATTTTTGCACGTTAAGCAAATTGTTGCAAACAATAATTGTGTCATTAGCAATGTTTTGAATTGTGTGTTCAAAAAGAGTAAACAGTTTTATACATAAACATCCCGTTTAAAATATATAATTAATAAGTTTCTGCTATAGTTTCATGGCTTATGATTTATTTAAAAAATCATTTAGTTTAGAGCTTAGAATAAAAAATATTTTTAATCTTGTATTTTAAAATTCATTAGTTATTCATTAGTTATTGATTACAAAGACGTATTGGCCTTTGCGAAACTAAAAAGCCTAGAGCTATTATAATCCATATAATGAATTGTTTTATATAAATATGTAATGAAAGGGTAAATAATTTTTACTGCTAAAATCATTTTTTTTTTTCGGTGTTGTGCAAATTTTAATATTGTGCAATTCACAATGTTATTACGTTTAATTATTAAATTAATAACAAATGAATGTTAGTCATTAATATCGTTTATTACTAAGTGTTTATTTTTTGTAATACTTAATATCTTAATAAATTGTAAGTTAAAAAGATATTTTTACGTATAAATCAGGCTGTTTAAGCATTAAGTTTTATTGCAATTAATTTATATTCAAAAATATTTTAAACACCTGTTTTTCATTATTTGATTTTGTTCTTACATTACTTAGTTACTATAATAAAAAAAAAAAATCAATTTCGCATCTGTAACATCTTGTATAAATCTAACATGTTTGATTATAACATTTAGTCTACATGTCAGGATGGCCGAGCGGTCTAAGGCGCCAGACTCAAGGGTTCCCTTGGCCTACTATGTAGGTGAAATTGAGCGTTCTGGTCCTCATCTGAGGGCGTGGGTTCGAATCCCACTTCTGACAAATTTTTAAGTGTAATTTTTATCAATGATATATTTTTTAAATTATACATTTTTATACTTTGTAATATA